TCTATAAACCAATCACCAACATACAAGACATGCATATTGCAAAATGGACAACTTGGCTTCAAATCCTCATCTTTCAACTCACTAGCTGGGAAACCACAGACAAAGGAAGTCATTTACCCTAAGCCTCTATTTCTTCTTCTACACAATGGGGATAATAAGTCAGAGCTCAAAGACTGATTAAAGATAATCTCTGTCAAGTGCCTAGAACACTTCAAGCATTCAATAAATGGCAGTTCTTCATATGACTTCTGGGCTTGCCAATTTAAATTATTAACAATTCCTAAATAATTCCTCAAATCATGTGATACCTTAAAGCCCAGTGAAAGAAAGGGACCTACTGCCAATGGCCCCTGGTTACTTAAGCAGCCCTCATCCACTGGAGACCTAGACCAATTGTGTGGAGTTACCCGAAGTAAAAACAGAAATGATACACCACACTCGATTCTGAGAATCCTTTGATTCTTGGAGCTTGGCTAAGCAAAGCCATTTTGATGGATGGCTTTTCTACAAAGAACCCCCCACCACCCTATGACCTTTCTAAGTGTTCATTGTCTTGGAATACTACAGGGCCAAATGAGTTCCATCAGCACCCAAAGCTGCAAAATCTCAGGGAGCTGCGAATACAGATGTGCAGACAGCAAAATGCAGAGGTAAAGACCCTTTACAAAATCTACACTCACTCCACAGAATGGAATACTATTCAGCAATAAAGAGAAATGAAGAACTAAAACATGTTACAACGTGGGGAAACCTTGGGAACGTTGTGCTCAATGAAAGCCAGTCATAAAATACTTCACATTATAGGATCCCATTTATAGGAAATACCCAGAATAGGCATATATATAATGTATACATATAGACCAAAAGTAGATTAGTGGTTGACTAGGGATTGAGGGGGTGGGGGTTGGGGAGTGACAGCTAATGGGTACAGGGCTTGTTTTAAGAAAGATGAAAATGTTCCAAAATCAGACTATAATGGTTGCACAACCCTGTGAGTATAATAAAAATCTTGGAACTGTACACTTTTTTTTTTTTTAAGATTTTACTTATTCACGTGAGAGAGACAGAGACAGAGAGAGTCAGAGAGAGCACAGCAGGGGAAGAGAGAGAGAGGAAGAGGGAGAAGCAGACTCCCCACTGAGCTGGGAGCAGGACATGGGGCTCCATCCCAGGACCTGGAGATCATGACCTGAGCTGAAGGAAGTCACTTAACCATCTGAGCCACCCAAGGCACCCCGTAAACTGTATATTTTAAATGGGTAAATTGTATGGTATATAAATTCTATCTCAACAAGGCTATTTTTAAAATCCAACTGCTTCGCGGATCCTTTATTCTTTGCCGCCTGGAGCAATATCCCCTCCTTCAAAATCTAAAAATGAGAGCTCAGAGTGCGGTCCTGGCTTTAAAAGTCTACTTACCTTGCCTTTCCATCTGTCACCTCCACAGTAGTTCAGTATCAATCATTTTGGATGAATTACAATGATGGAAACTGCTCAAATAAATGCAAAATTTATCTATGCTCAAACCAAAGCCTACAGATTACATTCTTTATTGCTCCACAGTAATGACTGTTCTCTCCTTTACTGAGTACAAACTGACCACTTTTGTTAGCACTCTTCTTCTGATTACTTGCTACAGTAACCTTCAAGCAAGTAAAGCTCCAGTTCCACAGGAGCTCTTTGTTCTCCTAAGAAATACGGGAAATATCCCCTAAGGATGACAGGATGACAGACAAAATCGGCAAAATCCATCTGCTAGGGACCTGATGAAATCGGTGTAACTCACTTGAGTGGGAATGGTACTGGAGAGAATTAGGGAAAAGAGACGACTGAACTCTGGATTACAAGAAGGAGATAAACTAGAGTATGGGTCAATTAATTTATGGTCTTAAAACCCTAACTAGATTAAGGAATATGTGGTCTGAAATATTTTTATTGATTACAAAGCATACCTGTTTTCATGTTTTGACAAGCTTTGGGGGTTTTGTTTGTTGAGATATAATGACATACAACATTATACTAGTTTCAGGCGTACAACATAACGATTTGATAGTTGTATATATTGTGAAATGATCACCACAGTAAGTCTAGGTAATACCCATCACCATGCATATTTACAGAATTTTTTTCTTGTGAATTTTTTCCTGCCCAGTGTGGGGCCTGAACTCATGACCCCAAGATCAAGGGTCACATGCTCCATCGACCGAGCCAGCCAGACACCCTTTGTGATGAGAATTTTTAAGATTTCATCTCTTGGCAACTTGCAAATTTGCAGTAAAGTATTATCAACTACAGTTGCCATATTGTACATTATATCCCATAACTTATTTATTTTTCCAAGCTTTTTAAATTTAGAGGCACTTAAATCTGATCAATACACTAGTTACTGTGGGAAAAGGAAAAAAAAATGGGGACACACACTCCCTCCCCTTCAGATTCTAAAATCTGAGGAGAAATTAAACATACTCGCATGAAGAGACTTAAGAATAACAAGAATAAAAACATTATCAATTCAGTGCACATTACTATATTATACTTAAAACATTTAATTGGTTATGGAGAGGAAGATGTTAAATGTTAGTAGTAGAAAGTAAAAAATGTCTCCCTAAAACTGCCGGCTACCACCATTTATTCAAAGAAGACTGCACAGAATGAAGATTCCAATTTTATGGGGCAGAAAACTTACTAGTGCTATTTATATACAAAAATTAATTCTAATAATCCTAACTTCGATTGAACAAATCATTTACCTAATTTTAATCACATTCAGCCCTAATTGTTCAAGTATCATTTCTGCTGCTTTGTCAAATTATTTCAGTTCATCCCTCCAACTCATACAAAGAAGCATTTAAGATGAAGTACTCTTAATTTTGTTTTTCGAAGATTCCCTGAATTTGGAGAGGTAAAGGAGATATTTTAAGATTCAGGCCACCACATATATGTCATGTGACAAATAACAACTTGATCATTTCTTCTGCTTAAGTACTTAAAAAAGAGATTTTTCTAACAATCCAGGGTAGACCGAACTCAACAATCACAATGTCACTTTATGATTTCCCAGTGTTCTGGTTCAAATTTCATTTCTAAATCTTTTAAACATTTCTTTCAATTTAGCAAGTATCCCTCCTCTGGGACAAATCTTTTCAATAGTGATTTGGACCATTTGAGTTATTAGTCTACAGTCTATTTCAGTTTTTAAAAAGTTACTAACATGACTCTTTGCTTACACATCACAAAACTTCATCTTGCTACAGGATTTCCTAATGCACCAGAATCTTGTGCAACTATCTCAAAAGTTCATAAGCAAGTTTTCCAATAGGACAATCAAGAACTTGGGCAAGTCAATTGTGAAATCACGAACTTTATTACAATCAAGTTGAGCAATTCACTTGTTTTTTAAGGAATATCAGAAAACACTAAATGATTTTTAAAAATAAGTATTAGGCGCACCTGGGTGGCTCAGTTGGTTAAAGCCTCTGCCTCTGGCTTGGGTCATGTTCCCCGGGTCCTGGGATCAGCCCCACTTTGGGCTCTCTGCTCAGCAGGGAGCCTGCTTCCTCCTCAATCTCTCTCTGCCTGCCTCTCTGCCTACTTGTGATCTCTGTCAAATAAATAAATAAAATCTTTAAAAAAATAAAAATAAAAACAAGTATTATAATGTGAACAGTTGCTTCTCATCACAGAGTTCTTACATGGCCCTTCCTACTTGAGATGTGTTCTCTTCACACTGCTGTCCCAAAAAGTTAATTTCTTATGTTTTTCCTACTAAGTTCTTTTTTTTTTTATTTTATTTTTTATAAACATATATTTTTTTTCCCCAGGGGTACAGGTCTGTGAATCGCCACGTTTACACACTTCCCCGCACTCATCATAGCACATACCCCTACTAAGTTCTTTAAATGATTTTGAGTGAATAAAGTGAAGAATACAGAGTTCCATTATTTGTGTACCTTAGTGGAGCCTAGTCTGAAAGCAACCCCTAACCATCCCAAAATTCAATGAAATGCTTGGTGAAGTGTACATTCAATCATGAAATAGCAGAAAAAATAATCACAGAGAACGATCACAGCACACCCCTTGGTTTAAAAAAAAAAAAAAAAAGAAACGAAAAGTAAGGAAAAGCAACAAAAAAGAAAAAAAGCGAGCACAAAACTTCCCTGCGGGTAACTCTCCCAACTGCTCCGAACTGACCTTTCTCAAATCCTCCAACAAAATGAAACAAGATCCACAGGCTTAGCTCACTCTTTGGGGGAATACTTTCTCCTATAAGCGCCCTTCTGCCAAAAGTATTTCTGATTGCTACGCGGAGAGTTACCGTTCTGCAGAAGCAATAATTACGTTCGTTACACATCAGGCCTCCAGAAAAGTTTAAGGAGAATTTAAAAACAAACCAAAACAAAAACCTTGTATATCTTGAAATGCACTAGGCCGAATCCAAGTCACAGGAGAGAGCCAAGTTTCTAAAAACCAGAAAGACCGGAAATTCTATGTCCTCTCGGTTCATCCTCGCCCCCCCCCCAAAAAAATCAACAGAATGCCTTTCATCCTTAGCAGGGGGCCACTATTCCAATCAAGCGAAAACCTTTATTTTAAAAACACTCAACAAGGGGCGAACCTAGGTAGGCAGAGGATGACTGAGGAGGCAGCAAGGTGACTGACTCCCGGCCATGCACCCGGAATGGCTTAAAGGACACCAGCCCCTGCGGGTTCAAGCAAATCGCCCCCGCACCCACCAAGTGGCACGGGAGATTCGCTGAGTTGGGCCAACAATGTCTTTCCTATTTAAAAACTCGCAAGTCCAGGCAAGCCAGGGCTTGGGGCCCCAAGGCTAGGGGCCAGGCGGGTACAAGGGACGCAGGAGCCTCAGGAGGGAGAAGGGACTTGGAGAGCGGAAGGCCAGGCGCTGGGCCCGAACTTGGGCAGCACCGGCCAGACCCCGGCCGGAAGCCGCGCGAGCCGCCGCAGGAGCGAGGAGACCCGCGGCGCTGGACTGCACTCACCTGCCCATTCTCCGAGCTTTGGTCCGACCCCTGCCTCGTGACTCAAACCCCAGACCCGAAGGGCCGTGAAGAGCGAGTACGAGATGCGCAGGGCCACGTAGGCCACGGTGACTGCGCCGACCCAGTACAAGAAGCCGGCGGCAGGAAGAGCGCTCTCCATGGCTTTCAAGTAGGCCTTACTACCTTCGTGAATGGAAAAACGAATGAATGAATCCAGGAAGAGGCGCCCGCCGTGACGGTGAGGACGACACTAACAGGCGCGGCTCCTGCGCGTCTTTTGGCCTAAACCCCGCCCATGGCGCCATATCCGTGCCGCCATTGGTGATCTAGCCGTCCCTCTGTGAGTAGTGCGTCAGCTATTGGCTGACTCCAGTTTCGCTACCCCGCCCATGTCCCCCCCTCGCGCACCCCCGGCCTGGTCTCTGTTCGGAGCAGGCACATCGCTCCCCTGCCAATCAAACTTCAGTACCGCCCAACGCGTCACCACGCCCCCAGAGTTCCACCAGAGGGCGGCTTGTCTCACCCCACCAAATCGCCCAGGTCTCTCATTGGCTGCAGCTGTCCTCACGACTGCGGAAGAGTGAGCTCCGATTGGCCAGGCAGACCCAGCCTCGTTAGAGCTCGGCACTTAGGAGGGAATGGGGTCTGAGAAGCCGGTTGTGAATGGGAAGATGGTATAGTAAAAGGTGGGCGTGGAGTCGTAGTTTTATTTTCCCCTCTGTATTAAACACATCTATATCATTGTTAAATATACTGTCACTGTTCCCATAAACTTTCCCGAATAAAGGCTTGCATCTCCCCTTTCTATGTCTCCTTCCCGGAGCATCTTCTCCCGTTACATGGGACTTATTGTGGAGCTTCTAAACCCTCCCTCTCGTTCTGAGCATTAAACAGCATTGCTCCCAAAGTCTTGGAGTTCAAGGCGAATAACTTCGTGGACTCAAATAATTATAATACACAGCGGCATAAGAGCTGTAAGATGAATGCAAAATAGAGGGAACCCAGCTTGATGAATAAGCAGTTTGGGGAAGGGACTCCCATGTTTAACTGGACCTTAAAGGACAATAGAGACTTTTTGTTTTACTCTCTTTTTTTAATTTACATTTTCGGGGGGGGGGGTGAGGGAACACAAAAGTATGTGATCCTAGTAGAGATAAGAAAACTACCTCTGCAGAGTTCCACAAGGTAAGCGTGAGAGATTGTGTAATGCAATAGAGTGCTTCACACTTACTCTTCCATCCACCTAGAGTTTTGGTTCCCTTTTCTGGCATGGACTTATATAAAACACCTGAAATTTTTCTTAGCCAGTAGGGACGCCTGATTCGAAACTTGAGACCTTTTTAAAAGGTAGGAATTTAAGGGTAATAATTTTAAGGATCAACAACAGATCTTGAAGATAATGTAGTAATTTTCTAATATGTAGCTCCAGAACCTTATCTTTCCCTGCCCAACCCCCCACTCTTTTCCCACTGTCTTATCAGATTGAGTATAACCCCTAAGGCTGTTACTGTTCTTTATAAACTGTCAGCTGTCTAGCAGAATTCAGCCATGTGAGTTGAGCAGGCACATTTTGTTTTAATTGAATTTGATCCCCTTGGCTGAGGCTGTCTGTCCAATTCAATGAAATCCCACCACTCCTCTCTCTCTCTCTCAACATCTCCCTCTAGCCAAAGTCTTCACCTGCAGTGGAGCCCCAAATGCATATATCCCGATTCAACATTGCTCACCAACTAAGGGCCCTCAAGATATCCATGCCCCTTAGAATGGGGCAGGAGAAGAGAGCTATTATAAACCAATAATACAAGGATGCCTGTTGATTCTGTCAGTGGAGTGGGTGACTCTTGAGGGTTGTAAATTTGAGCCCCACATTGGATGTAGAGATTACTTACAAATAAAATCTTAAGGGTGCGTGTATGACTCAGTCGGTTAAGTGGGAGACTCTTGATTTCAGCTTAGGTCATGATGTTGGGTGGTGGGATGGGCCCTGCGAAAACGACTCCATGCTCAGCAGGGAGTCTGCTTAAGGATTCTCTCTCTCCCTCTGTCCTTCCCCCACTGGCTCTCTCTAATAAATAAATAAGTCTTTAAAAAATGAATAGACTCTTTAAAAGTAACTAAACTAATGATATGTGTTCGTGTTGCATTTGTATGTATGTCTATGACCCACACTAGAACTTACGATTATTGGAAACACTATGCTGTGAATCCATAGGACCTAGAACAGTGCCTGGAACCCTGAGATACTCAATAAACATCTGAGAAAGAAATGGGAGTGAAGATTCATTCATTTAACAAATACTACTGTGCTGTAAGTATGTACCAGAAACTGAGCTAGGTAGGTACTGGATATAATAACAATAGTGAGAAAATGGTCAATTTTTCGTCCTCATTCTATTCCACCATTCGATAAGGAGTGGCCTCTGTTTTCCTTACCAGCTCCTTCCCAGAGTCCTTCAGGACCCCTTGCTAATGCTGGCCTCTACGTGATCCTATTCCTTTGGGCTCAGACTTCTGTTCTTTGTACTTCTCTACACAATCTCCCTACGTGATTTTATGTAGTCCCTTGGTTTTAAGTATCAACTGTAAGTTAATGAAGTCAAAATATCTCTGGCCAGGCTGAACATCTGCTCAGAGGTATGCATAAACACATAATCTCTATGCCTACTCCACATCTCCATTAAGATGTAAAATAAAAATAAACATCTCAACTGAAAGGTGTTCAAAACAGACTCAACACACACACACAGACACTTCTCTTCTTCCAATCTGTTAACGATATCATTATTTACCGTCTTTCTAAGGTTTAAAACCTAGCTGTCAGCCTTGATTTTTTTTCCTCCTATTACATTCCCATATTCAGTACTTCAGCAGTCTTGTTCACACTACCTCCAATATAGATCTTGACTGGCCACTTCTCCTCACTTCTGTTACTACCAACCTAATCCAAATCACAAGCATTTCTTGCCTGGAATATGGCAACAGCGTCCTCCCTGGTCTCCCTGAAACTGTCTTGGGATTTGTTCCCCACGAAGCAACCGGAGTGGTTGTGTTCATTTTTGTTTTTAAGTAAATTAGATATCATTTCTTCCGCTCAAATCCCTTCAAGAACTTTACAAATCAGATTAAGAACAAAATCCTCCAAGACAAGTTATTTCTTCCCTGACCTCTCCAGCAGCATCAGTGATGCTCTCCTGGGCTCACCTGATTCCAGCCACATGTCTTGCATTTTCTGAAACAAGTCAAGTTCATTCCAGTCTCTAACAGTTCTATTTCCTGTTCCCTTTCCAGAACTTCTCGCCCTCTGTCTCAAGGCTCACTGCTTTATATTATTTGGGTTTCTGTGCACACAGTCTTCCCTTTAGAGTGGTTTTCTCTGATGGACCAACATAAATAGAACAAATCACCTCCTCTCCTTTGCCCTGTAACCACTTATCCTTTCACCGCACTTTACTTTCCTTATAACACTTAATGCCTTCAAATTGTCTGATTATTTGGTTTTTGTCCATCTTCCCAATAGAATGTAAGTTCATGAGGACAGAGACCTTTTCGTGCTCACCATGGTATCTTCTCCTAAGATGTACACCAAAGAATAACTGACACTTAGTAGGTCTGCAAAAAATGCCCGTTGAATGAATGAATGATGAATACATGGAAATGGTCTAGCTAGAGAGGCAGACCTTAAGGACATCGAACTAGTGATATGATAAAAATTGTTATGAGTACAAAGAAATGGGAATACCTAATTTAGATGAGAAGAGGGGACTGCCCTGAAAGGCCTTTCTAAGGGAGTAACATTTGAGCTGGGATCTAAGGCAAAGTAGAAATTAATCTGGTGGAGGAGGACGGGGTAGAGGAAAGGAGAGTGCAACAGATACCCACTGAGGGTTTTGTTGTGATTTTGAAGAATATACACGCATGCACACACATGTGCCTCTAGCACCTACCACAGCATCTGACATAAAAATAAACAGGCAACAAAAAATAGTTGATGATTTGGGATTATTTTTAATGAATAAGGACAGGCACCATGGAAATGCAATTTCTACTGTTCTTAGAATTCGTATTGAGCATGGTATTTTTACTCAAGGAATGTTGATTGAAACCACCTCAGTAGGGTACCCGTTTTTTCCTATAAGGTCTGAGCAGTACTCTTGCAATTAACAGGAATAATCTTTATTAAGAGTGCACACATATATTTACTAAAAGAAAAAAAATTAGCATCACAGAGTGAAGTGATCTGTGTCAAAGAAATTCCTTTGAGGTCCAGAGAGCTATATACTTTTGGAATTGAACAGGAATCCTTTGTCTATGGATAAATTTTATGAACCACTTAAAAACTCTAATGCAGGGGCGCCTGGGTGGCTCAGTAGGTTAAGCCTCTGCCTTCGGCTCAGGTCATGATCTCAGCATCCTGGAATCAAGCCCCGAATCTGGTTCTCTGCTCAGCGGGGAGCCTGCTTCTCCCTCTCTCTCTGCCTGCCTCTCTGCCTGCTTGTGATCTCTCTCTCTCTCTCTCTCTGTGTCAAATAAATAAATAAAACCTTAAAAAAAAAAAAAAAAACAACCTTTAATGCAGGGGTGCCTGGATTAAGTTGGTTAAGTGTCTGACTTCAGAGGGCCCTGCTCATACCTTAGCTTTGGATTTCAAGGCCCGCATCAGTTAAGTGTCTGACTTCATCTCAGGGTCCTGGGACCGAGACCCACATCGGGCTCCCTGCTCAGTGGGGAGTCTGCTTCTCTCTTTCCCTCTTCTCATGCCCCTCCCCCAACTTGAGCTCCTAAAAAAAAAAATCTTTCTAAAAAAATTTTTAAAGGGGCATCTGGGTGGCTCAGTCATTGGGCGTCTGCCTTCAGCTCAAGTCATGATCCCGGGGTCCTGGGATTGAGCCCTGCATTGGGCTCCCTGCTCAGCAGGGAGTCTGCTTGTCCCTCTCCCACTCTCCCTGCTTGTGTTCCCTCTCTCACTGTGTCTCTGTCAAATAAATAAAATCTTTTTAAAAAATATTTTTTAAAACAATTTAAAAAAAAACTTCTAATGCATACAGGAACCTACAATGATGGTCTACTCCTATTCAGCACTATTCTATGCTAAAATTTAACATATAGGGGCGCCTGGGTGGCTCTGTGGGTTAAGCCTCTGCCTTCGGCTCAGGTCATGATCCCAGGATCCTGGGATCGAGCCCCGCATCGGGCTCTCTGCTCAGCAGGGAGCCTGCTTCCTCCTCTCTCTCTGCCTGCCTCTCTGCCTACTTGTGATCTCTCTGTCAAATAAATAAATAAAATCTTTTAAAAATA